CGGTAGGGACAGACTGGCACAGGGGCAGGGCAGTGAGACAAGGGCTGGGACTTGGCCACCTGAACAGGGTCCACAATAAGAACCAGCGACTCCCACATTAGCTCTCTGTCCGTGTGTGTGACTGCGTGTGCGTATGTGAGTGAGGTGCATGTGTGTCAGTGTAGGGGTGATCCCAGCATAGGGAGAGCATAGGGAGAGCCCACTGCAGTGCCATGCTGGCGGTGAGAACAGGGACTAGAGCAGTAACTCTTGAACATGGCTACACATCAGAATTGCGTGGGAGTTTCTGAAGTCCTGATGCCTGGCCATCCTACATACTCATATCTCAGAATCTCTGGGGGCAAGACACTGGCATGCACATTATTTTAAATTCTCAGGTGACTCCAGCGTGTTTGAGACCAGTAGAAGGGAACTTGTTTGGTTGGCTGGTTGGTTTGTTAGGATGTTTATAAGAGAGCCACTCTGAGCAGTTTCTCTTGAGGGGAGGAGCTTTCCACAGGGGTGGGGCAGGGGCAGGAGCAGGGGGTCTGGGTCTGGGCAGGAGGCTGGGAGTTATCACACCTATTTGCCGTGAGCGTGAGCTTCGCCATCACAGAGCACTTTAGAGATGATCTAATGAAGCCTCCGGTGGTGGTTACAGTGACCCAGAGAGCCTGATACATGTCCAGAATCATGTATCAGTCAGTGGCCCCTGCCACACAAGCTGCAATGTGTGTGTGTGTGTGTGTGTGTGTGTGTGTGTGGTGGGGGCAGGGTGTGTGCATACACGTGTGCATGTGTATTGTGTGGTGTATGTGTGCATACATGTGTGAGCATGTGAGTGGTGAATGCCTACAGAGAACTTCCATGAGGATATCTAAAATTCTTTCATTTTACTTTGTATTAACATCACAAACCTTCCAGGGTCCCCCCCACACACACAGGAGTACTTGCCAGCTTTTCGAAGCCTACAACACCTGACATACTGATACCTAGGATTTGGTGCATGGGGAGAGAATTTATGTTTTTTTTTTTTTTTTTTTTTAAAGTCTCCACTGAAGTGTTCTGCAAAGGAGCTGGACCCAGGACAGCGGCATTTGCTATGAAGCACCTGGAGTCGTCAGCAATTTTGCATGTGTTGTAACAGGTCAACGGAAATTCTGGCTAAAACCCCAACTTTGAGCCAAGATGTATTGTAAAGTAATAAGAATTGGTTCATTTGAAGTTTAATTAGTATGTTTTGCTGCTGAAACAAGATGAAGCACACATACAACTTCACCCGGACCCGCTCAGCTTTGCTCCCAGGAAGACAGCCCAGAGTGCTGTCTGCCCACCACTGGCCGTGAGAACAGGGCAGCCTCTAGGGGAGAAGACTGTGCAGAGCCTTTGCTTGGCCAGAGGTTCACGTCAAGACACAACCAAATGCAGATACAGTAAACCACCAAAGCAGGGCTCCTAAGGCGGACTCCTCCTCCCCACCATGGAGCTACACAGCCCGCCCCAGGAGGCTGCAGAGCCACAAGAACCTACCCCCTACCCTCTGACCACAGTGAAATAGAAGCTTCGCAATTTGAGATGGGAAACAGTACTTCTGAGAAGAAGAAAGAGGAGAACTCTAGGCTCAAGCTGACACGGAAAACCACAGCTGTCTAATGGGCAGAGGGACACACCAGGCAACCCTGGGTGGGGTTAGGATCTCCCTGGCAGGAGAAGTGATGGAAGGAGGAAGCTCATTCATCGAACTTTGTGTGGGATGATCTTCGTAGTGCTGGTGGCGGTGGTGGGGTGTTCGGGGTTGGGTCCAATGAGAGCTGCACTAAGTTTTATGATGAGATTCCAAGTGACATTGGAATCCAGAGGTGCCGGCCCTTTACCCCCATGCTGGGCAGCCGGGCACGCACCCCGGAGGCCTTCCTGCTCCTGGGAGGTCATGTGACCCTAGCAAAGACCTTCTGCTGGGCAGCCAGTCATGCACCCCGGAGGCCTTCCTGCTCCCGGGAGGTCATGCGACCCTAGCAAAGACCTTCTGCTGGGCAGCCGGGTACGCACCCCGGAGGCCTTCCCACTCCCAGGAGGCCATGGGTCCCTAGCAAAGACCTTCTGCTAAGCAGCCATGACCCTGTGGGCTCCTCTTGCTTCCCACACAATGTGGGGAGGAAAGCACTCACACACCGGGAGCCCTGAAAACTCAGGGGAGCAAGATTTGGGGGCCAGTTCAGAGCAACCTCCATGTGCAGAGTATCCAGGCCAGGAGACACCCTCCTCCTTCCCAGGGACTTGGTGACCAGGTGGGGCGTCTGTCTGATCTGTCCTGTGGCAGAGAGGTCCTGGAGGGAGAAAGACACTGGTGCCTTCTCCTTTTACAGGTGTCCTTCTTCCACCTCAGCGGCTACTTCTCTCTGACAGACAAGACATGCCCCTCTGTGCCCTGTGGAGAGGGCTCTGAGGGAAGCCGGTTCTCTCCCCCGGACAGTGTGTGCTAACACCTGACTGTCCTCCTGGGACGTGAGGAACAGTATCCACTCTGCCAGCAGCTGTGGGGCGTGTCTGGCCTTCTTTAGAGTGGATTTCTTAATTAGGGGGACCCTGGATAGGATGCAGGGGCCCAAGAGAATTAAAGACACCAGAGAAATTCACTCTTTGCTTTTAGAGGGAACTAAAGGAGCACCCGAGTCTGTCTGGGGGCCAGAGGCAGAGGCATGGGACAGAGTCCTTCCACGCTGCCCACTCGCCCCTCCCGGGAGCCAAGCAGACCTGTGGCATACAAACCAGCACCAGAGTAGGCAGAGTGGCACAAGCAAGCAGGAGGCTTGGGCGTTTCTGATGGAGAGGACAGGGAAAGCTGATGAAAACAAAGCCAGATAAACCAGAAACACCAGCTCCAAGCCACCAAACTGCCTCTTCCAGCTAGGATGCCTTTGGGGCAAACCAGCCCCCTTTGGGATCCTCCCCAGAGGCTGAGAGTAAGGGACACACCTCTGGACCTATAGGCTCGGTTCTGGAGAGTTTTGGGGGAGGGATACATTAGCCATCAGGGCCACCCTCACCTGGCCGAAGCCCCCTGGGGGCCCCTGGCACGGAGAAGCAGACAGGGAACTGACCAGACCCCGCCCAGTGGTGTTACACCAAGACCCAGGCCAGGAACAGCACCCACGAGGACAGATGCTCGGCTGATGTCGATGGGTGGGGAGAAAAGAAGAGGATGGGGTACTGGGGCCGGCAGAGGCTTCTCTGGAGCTGTGAGCCAGGAGGTGGGCGGAGGACGGGGTGGGAGTGGGCATGGGGCAGGCAAGTTCGTTGTGGAGAAGAGGACGCTGGCTGAGCTGTGCCCTGGGCTGTAGCCAGAATGGGGGCACTCTGGTGACCCAAGCAAGTTCCAGAAGAGCCACTGAGTGGCTATGAGGGCGTCAAGTGAAAGGGAAGGGGACAAGCGACCTGGGGGCTGATGGCCCCGGAGGAGGAGGTCGGAAGCAAGGAGCCAGGGCCAGGGTCAGGACACCCGGAGCAGCACAGCTTTTAGGTCTGGGGTGAGGGATTGTCTCTCAACCATTCTCTCTCCCTCAGCCCCGTACAGAAGTTACTCAGAAACTGGGGATGGGGGAGAGACAGAGAGAGAGAGAAAGAGAGAACAGAGACAGTAGAAAGCGAGCTGGTGTGTGTGTGTGTGGATGGAGGGAGAGTGGGCAGAGGTCTGACTCGGTCCTCCTTACAACCCTGGCCCTCCCTCTCTCACAGGGACCTGACTTTATAAATCTTGGTTGACCTGACCTGCTTTGTAGTGTGTCTTCATTAGCATTTTGCTGAATTTAGAAATAAAGAAACAAATGAATAAATCAAACCTTGGCTATCCTGTGGGTAACTCTTACTGGGAATTCTCTGTATTCGAGTATTTGGTCTAAAAATTCTCTACAAATGCCCCAGTCTGGGACTGCACCTCCCCTTTGGGCGTCAGAGGTCGTGTCCCTTTCTCTTAGCACCCTCGGTTGGGGGGAGGGTGGCACTCAGGTTAGGAAAGTACCCAAGGACTCAGTAGGGCCCCACGGCCCTCCAGCCAGCAGGATCCCCTACCCTGCCGCCGGTTCCCCCACTCCCCAGAGACACCTAAGCTGGGCAGCGGCCAGGGAGAAAGCGGTGGGAAAGGGGGTTTCTGCATTAATTGAGAAAGAGAACATCTCCTGGTCCTCTTTGTCGTCAAGGGACGCTGTGGCCCTGGGACGACCTTGGAACCAGATTTGCCTCTTCGTTGTTGGGACTGGCGAGAGTGCCCCAGAATTCCAGGGACTCGTCTCCTGCGCGCTGCGCCTCCGCGCCTCCTCCCCCGCAGCGCCCGCGCCTCTCCCAGCCCGCACTCTGGTGCCAGTAACTCCTTCACCTCGCCTGCCACCAGCGTCGGCGCCGCCTGGCTCCACCTGAGCGCGGGAGATCCAAGCCCGGGATCGAGAGGACGGCGGGCACGCAACTCCAGGGGAGCGCCGGGGCCGGGTCCCCAGGTCTAGGCAGCACAGAATGGCGGGAGGTCCCCTCAGCAGGATTGGGAAGCGAAAGCCGTCCAGAACCAAGGCTCTGGGCCGGGAGAACAGCTCGTGGGCTGGAGACCCTTAGCACCCGGGCGCGCAGGGGAGGGGCCTGCCAGCGAGCCACCCACCCTTGCCCATTAGCGCGCGTTCGGGCTCGTGGAGCCGGCGCGCTGTCCGGCTCCAGCCAGCCAGGACCGTCCGGGAGCGTTCGCAGACCCTGCCTGAGAGGGCAGCCGCTGGTCCCCGCCTCCCGGCCCAGGCGCCCGGCAGGGGCGCACGGAGTACGCGGGCGCCGAGCCTTTACCTCGGTTGGAGTGGCTGAGCGTGGACGACTGCGAAGACTTGGACTTCTGCCGCTTGACCGTCATCATCACCTGCTCCTGCACGCGCTGCCTGCCCGACGTGCCGGTCTTCATCTTCTGGTCAGACGGTAAAGCCAGCGTGGACCTCCCGGCCCAGGCGCCCGGCAGGGGCGCACGGAGTACGCGGGCGCCGAGCCTTTACCTCGGTTGGAGTGGCTGAGCGTGGACGACTGCGAAGACTTGGACTTCTGCCGCTTGACCGTCATCATCACCTGCTCCTGCACGCGCTGCCTGCCCGACGTGCCGGTCTTCATCTTCTGGTCAGACGGTAAAGCCAGCGTGGAGTTGTCCTGGTCCTGGAAACATTCGTACGCCAGGGCAGTCTTGAGCGGCGAGTGGTTCATGGTGGCGGGAGGCGCGCGGGCCGGAGCCGGGGCCAGGGAGCTCAGAGAGGCGGGCGAGGTGCGGGGCAGCGGGCGGGCCGGAGCGTGCTCTTCTCGCTCTCAGCGGCTCCCTATGGCCATAGAGTGAGTGGTCCGCGTGAGGGCTCCCGGCTGCTGCTCCTGGCGCCTCCACCCTGGCTCGTCCCTCTCTTGGCACTGGAGAGGCCCGCCCTCCGGCAGA